TTTCCCCATGCCTTTGGCCCTGACTGACTATGAGCATTCCATCTTTGTATGTCTATTATTTTTTTATTTCTGTTCTTTTATGCTTTTCTGGCTCTGATGTACATTGCTCAGAGTTTACAGTTAGGCAGTCTACAAATGTTGTAAATAAGTAAATATTGAATATGCAGGGCTGTGGTGAATGGGGTCAGTTTACAGAAAGACGCCACATTCACATAGACACACACTATCTAATTAGCTAACACAATTTTTCAAAGGAACTCCTTGCAGACTGGTAATCAGCTGACTGTGGACTAATGTAGTTTGGGTTTTTCAGGCCATCTTAAGAGCCACCAAGGTTCCCATGCAGCCCATGTGTTGTTCTACCATTTTCCTATTATATTTAGGTTGTTAAAACTTACCTGGATACAGTACTAAAGACCAAATCCAAGTTGCTAGCTTAAATCCTATGAAACTGGCCCAAATGTTATATAAGTGCTCTCTCTGATAACCTAATTATGGGAAGATCATAAAAGACATAGGAATTAAATGACTGCAAAGTAGTAATAAATCTCTCCTCAATTCAGAGGTACTCAAGAGACCTGAATTCCTGCTCATGCCAGTCATCCCTTCTGAGTTTTCAGGAGATTTTGTAGTAAACAGTCATTTTAAATCCAGGAACTGCTCCAGGAGAGATATTGGCAAATAATAGTTTAGAACAAAAGAAAAGTAGGCACCAAAACCACAGTCACACTGTTACAATATTTCTAAGGAACAACTATGGCAAAAAAAAAAAAAAAAAAAGTAGGCCCCAAAACCTCACACCCACATTTAAAAAAGTTCTAACGAACAACTATGGAAAAAAAAAAAAAAAGTAGGCCCCAAAACCTCACACCCACATTTAAAAAAGTTCTAACGAACAACTATGGAAAAAAAAAAAAAAAGTAGGCCCCAAAACCTCACACCCACATTTAAAAAAGTTCTAACGAACAACTATGGAAAAAAAAAAAAAAAAAAGAAGTCTACCAATCTACATGATGACACAGATCTTATTAAAGATCAAAAAACAATTTCCCCCAACTCATTTTAATGCATCTCTATTTGCAGCTCTAACTGCCCTATGTACCAACTGCTTCAAGGCCAACTGTGAGTAACTCACACGCAGAAACATATATGCAGTATTATTCACATGCCACATAAGTAATAATTGATTGAAAACGCCAAAAGGCAGGTCAATCTCCAGTTATGGGTGCTGATAATCCAAACAACTTTAGAAATTACACAAGGTATTAGGGCAACAGCCATCTTCTGTTGTTAGACTCCCTAATCTGAAATTCAGGTTAATATTCTACCTCCAAAGATAGATGCATACAGAATGCAAGGAAGCAGCACCCTATATTTAATCACTAAGTAGGGTAGATTTTAGCACAGAACTGGAGACAAGTGTTCCTTTTACCAAGCCAGATTTAATTAGGTCTGGTTGTCATTCTATAAATAAGCAGTAATCTCTATGGCTAGGAGACGTCAGCAAAGCCAATCTTTTCAAATACAAATCAGGCATTAAAATGGAAAAATAAGTGGAAAAAGAAACCCAGAATTCAAACAGGCTTTGACCTGCAAATGACTGTAAAAGTGATCACTACAAGGTTTAATTTCTAAATGCCCCATCTGTCTGATATTTCACCACAGGGCTGATTCAAGGGAGTTGTAGAAAATGCAGCTGCAATGGGCCCCAGAAAAGTGGAAAGGCTTTAAACAGGAATCTTCCCCACACATCCTCTCTCCCTGTGTTTTGCTCATTCCCCCCTGTGCTGCTGCCAATCTCCACTCACTTCAACATCTGTGTGTGCTCCTGCCTCTGTTCTATGCACAATCTAAATGCATAAGCACGGCGGGGAACAAAGGAAGAATGACCACATAGATAGATTTTTTCCATGACGATCTGTCCCTAACCCAGTCCTTCAGCTCTTCCAACAGTGGACACATTGCCACTGCAACTGAGTCCATCCACCTTGCTGCTGGTTGTCCTCTTCCCTTTCCTTCCACTTTTCAGCATCAGAGCTTTCTCCAGAGAGCTAGGTCTTCACATAATGTGTCTGAAGTAGAATAATTTGAGCCTAGTCATTTGCGCCTTGAGTAAGAACTCTGTGTGGATTTGTTTGAGCTGCATTTGTCTTCTTGACTGCCCACAGTATTCTCAGGAGTTTTCTCCAACACCAAACTTCAAAAGCATCAATACTCTTCTTATCTTGCTTCTTCAAAGCCCAACTTTTGCTTCCATGGAGTGTCACAGGGAATATCATTCTTGCACAGTTCTGATCTTTACAGGTTTAGACATGGCATCTGAGTACCTTTTCCGAGACCTTCATGGCTGCTCTGCCACTGCCCTAATTATTCATGTAGTCTGATCCAGGTTCTTGCACACAATTAGACTGTCATTATTATTCCTGGAACATGTTATCTGGAAGCTTAGAAACATCCCTTTGATTATATCAAAAGGGACACAGCAAGATTCATACCGCTTGCCAATTTGTCCTTTTCAGAAAGATATTTAGGCTACTTCATCTACCAGAGAAGGATGGGGCCCATCTGTCCAGTTAGAAAAAAACACAACATACTGTTTACATAATCCAGAGTCATGTGAAAGCTCTGTGGTAAGTAGTCCTTTGTATGTTTTCATGGTAACTCTGCTCTCTCACGATCACATGGAAACAAGAGAATCAATAACTGACTCTGATGAGGCCATAGTCAATCTTCACGGGTGTCTCTGCTGAAAAGCATGCCTCAGTGCCAGATAAGGCACTGCATTTATTTTTCTCCATGGTACTACTGAGCATAAATAAGGGAGACTGGATTATGCTTCTGTCACGCCTAATAAAATAACTCTTTTAGGAAGGAACCTGCTCTCATGTTCTATAGCAACCCTTTTATCTAGTAAAATCAGAAAATCATTGAAGAGCACTTTCTCTTTAATTGCCTTCTTGTAATGCTTTGAACTGTTCTGTTTTCAAGGTTAGGAAACACAAGATTTTAGGCTTAAACTTCAGCATCCTCCCACCCCAGATAGTTTTCAGGAGAATAGCAGGACTGTAACTCAAGTAGAGTTAATAACTCTCCTTGCCTTCAAAGTTTTTTTGCTTTTCTTTTTCTGCTTTAAATAAAAGTTAGCGTTCTCATGATGTTAAATGTACTTGCTGCATGCTGTGTTACAAGACAGAATTCATACAGTTCATCAAGAAAACCTCTCTCCTTCCTCTTGGGAAGGGCAGAAATCTAGCTCGCTGATACTCAGCAGACTGCAGTGCCAGATTCTAGCATAAATTTGGCAGTTTGGGCAAACACAGACAGCGTTCTGCCAAGGCATACTTAATACAGCCTTCAGAAAGACCTTTAAGTGTTCAAGAGCACCACAGATTAAGATACCACTGAGCAAATATAGCAGGGCTGTAAGTATTGATATAACGAGAGCTGTTCCGTTGTTGATAGGCTACAGAACTAAGAATGGCAATCTGCCACTAAGCTAGGGTTTCCAAGAGATCTGTGAAGAAAGGCTCAGAACTGGGGGTTAAAATAAAATTTTAAAAATGCCTTTAGAAAGGGAGGGAGGAAGAAAAGCAAGTATCTACTTACCTAGGGAAAAGACTTTGGTTCAGCCCCTATCTTTCAAACCCAACTTAAGGATAATATGAAGATCTTATATGTGCCTCTTTGTGCACCAGGAGAGAGGACAAGTGGTCCTTGAAACCTTTTTCTTTCTTTTTTCTTTCTTTTTTCTTTTTTTTCAGTCTCAGAGGCATACCATTGAATTTCAGCAAGGCTGTTACCAAAAAATCAGCAGCATGGCTTCCTGTTATTTTTAGCTGAAAAAATGCAGTAAAACTGTTCTGTGAACCCTGTAACAGATTTAACCCGCCCACATCATTTTCCTGCCTGCTGTGTCAGACCTCACACAGGTATGGCTTGATTCATAACTCTTCAGATACTCAATCCCTCACACTCAGTAATTAGCTCACAGTATAACTTTCCAAGACTCACCAGAGTTAGATAAAATGTTTATTGCACACCAGAAGACATATATCAACAGCTACCTAAGCCAGTCACGTATGCATACATACACACAAATACATGTATGTGCCTATATGTGAAGACCCAGGTTTTGTATCCTAGTTCTCTTTCTCCTACTTTTTGCACCTTTTGCTGTTCTTTTCCCAGGCCGGAATGTGAAAGGTACCTATATCATATTTACATAATGATCCTGTCTGCTCTGAAGGTCTTCACTTCCTGCCTTGCTAGCTTCAACCCTTCACAACATAGTCCTCTGCCCTCTCCCCAGAATGAAATGTGCCTTCTAGCCACCAAAAGGATATGTGAACCTATCCTCAAGAGAAGACAGGACCTACTGCGATAAATCAATATTAGTACTTTAAGCAAAGTACTAAAATAGGTAGTTTTTAAGTTCTTTTTTTTTTAAAACACCTTTTTGTAGCTCCATAACTAAATGGTGCACAAAATTTTTTTGCAGGGAACAGATTAAGTGGTCTTCATTACTATTATATACTTTAGTAAATACTATAAAATGGAATTCGCTGAGATGGCTAAATTGACTTCTTTGATCAGAGAAAAGACAGTATCTATATTTATTGGCGACTGGAAACCCTTTATAGATTTTTTGTGTGAAACAGAAAAAAAGGAACATGATTTATGGTTTTGATGATTAGACCGAATAGATTGTAGAATGTGCTTATAACTGTTGTAAAGAAGACTGGAAGCTACTTCTATGTATCTTTTTTCTTTCTTTTCTATTTTTCTTTTTCTTTTTTCTCTTGCATTTCTCTTGCATTTTTAGCTTTCTCTCTGATTTCTTTCTTCTTCTTTCCTTTTTCTCACTTTATATTAGTTTGTATTTGTTTTTAATCTTCTGTTTTAAAAAAAAGTTAATAAAACTATACCAAAAAAAAGAAGTAAATACTATAAAATATTCTTAACAGTTTTCCAGGGCTATTGGCAGGATGCCTTCCATGAGTTACAAAGGTTTGTTTTACAGTCTTACT